AAATCCCAGAAGACTGCTTTCTTCAACCTGCTTTAGCATTAAAAAGAAATCTACATTTTGCTCAGATGGTAATGATGCGTTTCCCATGATTCTCACAATAAACAGAATTTTTTCCTTTTCCCCTTAACAGCATAGACTGATTGGCCTTTGCAATGGAGTGCGTTTTCTGTGAGACTGGAATGGAATTGGTGTACATTAAGATGAGCTTTCTACTTCGGAAAGTTAATGCGGCCGGATCCGTTTCACAGTTTCACTTCGTTTGATATGTGGTGTATGCGACGTTTTCACACTATCAAACACTGTTCTTCAACTGCTCCATGTCTCTATACATCCATGACACAACTGAATGGAGGAGGGAGTTGTGTGTGCTGATCCTGCATACAGAAAGATTTACTATCTCGGATATAATTCTGAGCCAAAACACGCTAGAGTGCCTAATTTCTGAGGGCAGATGATATGACTAAGGCTGCGGTCTTCTGATATGCAGCGCCGTGTAGTCTGGTAGGTTCGGACCATCTCTTCTATCCTGAAGATTGAGTCAGCAGATTCCTCAGACACGGTGTCAACTACCTCTCAAACTACACGGCGTCACATCTAAGAAGATCGTAATCTTGATAATCACCACTGTGGGGTCCTCGTGTAGCGAGTGACTGATTCTTAGTTCAATGCCATAGCTGACACTATACAGGTTTCATCGCGTTGAATGAGTGGGCAGTTGTCCATGAATAGTGTGTAGGTAAGCATCTCGAAGGGGACGGTTGTGCTCTATTTGAAATTTATCCCGAGAGAATTTTCGCTGTCTGGATAAAAAATACAAAAATAACGTCCAGTGGGCTAGTTCTGTCTCCGTATTCAGGCAGAGAAAAGGAAACACAAATTATTCCTCTGTAATAGAACACGGTGTAGTCCGGAAAAAGCTAACCGATGTTTCTGGGGAGCATGGGCCCCTTGTCACCACGACATGGCGCGTCCTCAGGTTGCGGATGGAGGAGACGGCCTCCAGATATGAAGGCTAGCTGCGGAATATGTTGAATAAGCAGTCGCGGACAGCCGGCACAGGGTGGTCCTCCAATTTGGTGGTTGGGCGTGGGGCTAACAATTCCTCACCGCAAAAATAAGCTTTTATTAAATGTCACACAGGGATTCGGACCTTGACGGATTCTTTGATCTGGCTAAGGATTGGGACCAGTGGAGGGCTCTTGTGAACACGGCAATGAACCTTTGGGTTCCATAAATTGTTGGGAAGTTCTTCAGTAGCTATAAAACTGGCGGCTTCTCAAGAAGGGCTCAGCTCCATGAAATTAGTCTGGAGGAGCAAACGGAAGTTAACTTTCTCCGAAGCTACCGGCGTTATATTCCAGAACATACAACTCTTTACAGCCACAGTTGCAGAAGTCTCAAATTCAACAAAGGAAACATAGTCTGTGGGGTCTGTTACTTAACGCTACTCATTATCACTAGGATTTGTGTGGTGTGGTGTGATTTAGTATTGAGGAGTGTATTGTGTAGTATACTGTGTTGTGGTGTAGTGCAATTGCATTGTGTGTTGTGTGGGGACACCCGCTAGCGTAGTTGGTTGAGACACTATGCTACAAGCCGGAGGGACGCGGGTTAGATTCCCAATGAGGTAATTGGATTCTTCAATTAACCTAAGCTTTCCAGTCACACTATGGCCCTGGGGCAACTCAGTCTATAGCAGAAACGAGTATCAGGAATCTTTCTCGGGTTAAAGGGCGACCGGCGCGTAAGGCCGACATCACCGCCATCTGTGAGCCGATTGTGTAAAAAATGTGATCCTCGACGTCTCACAATCCTATGGGCCTCCACGGCCGGTTAAATGGATACTTTTTTATTGTGTAGTGTTGTTGGTGTGGTGTCTTGTACTGTTAGTTCCTCGGAACTCTAGCCGTGGTAGAGGGGTCATACCATCTCTCACGGAGCTGGGGAGGCACTCTTATCAGCTTACGTCAGCGTAGGTACTACCAGTTTGGAATGTAGCGTCTTGAAGTGTGGTCAGGTGTATAGTACGTTGTGTTGCTTGTTAGTTGGTGTCCTTAGGCAATGTGTTCCGCTCGGGGAGTAGCTCTGAACGTCACCACAGCAAGCGTACAGCCTCGCGTGCTCCACAACAGCGTTTACCTTTCCGCGCGGCTAAAGTTACGAGGCACTAACTATAGTGTGTCTACACCACAAAACATCCACAATTGATATGGGCCTGGGAAGCCTCTGTTACGTTCTGCCTGAAGATGAAGGCTATACCAGACTCCGAAATGTATACCAGTTTCTCTCTACGCGCACGTTGCTACAGACCTGTTGAACCTCACTGCTCCCGGCTAATGACCCTGGGCTAGGCTGGACAGAAGACGAAATCAGGTTGAGGACTGAGCCCTGTGCTCTCTGAGTACAGAACGTGAAGAAGTTCGGAAGATTGCATAATGAACATAGAAAAAGAAAAAGCTTGAGGGCAGTTTCTTCTGAAGATGTCTGACAGGATTTCGAAGCAGGATTCTCTGAGTGAAAGCGCTGTCTACTTACAAGAAAATAACAGGGTGACCAGACCAGTTAAGATGCGCAATCTAGCCTGAAAACTTGTTCATCTCCCCGAATGAAAATGAAAGTAAGTCAGGATATATCAAGTCCAGGAGCACAAACTGGGCCAGTTCCGGTAATTCCTATACTAAAAGATTTTGTTCCTATTGTAGCTTTCTGACTTGAGATCCGTGGGAAAACTGCGGTCGTGATTTTATTTACCTGAGCTGACTTATCCCGCAAGCAAGCCCTCGGCACCCGTTGATCTGCAGGTTCAGTGAGTCTGTCGGTAATTGAACCCATCAGCTAGAAACAATACTGATTAAGCTGCTTACCTACTTACTCATGGAGCCGAGCCCTTCTTGAGGAGAAACCAAATCTGCAGCTACTCAAGAATTTCCCAGCATTCTATGTAAACCCGAAGGTTCATTACCGTGTTCACAAGAGCCCTCCACCGGTCCCTGGTCTTCTCAGTGGTCTCTTTCCTTTTGGCTTTCCCACCAATATCCTATACGCATTCCTTTTCTCCCCCATTCGTGCTACATGCCCTGCCCACCTCACCCTTTTTGATTTGATCATTATAATTATACTTGGAGAAGAGTACAAGTTATGAAGCTCCTCATTATGCAGTTTTCTCCAACCTCCTGTCACTTCATCTCTCTTCAGTCCAAATATTCTCCTCAACACCCTCAGTCTATGTTCCTCACTGATTAAGCTACTTCGACACAAATTAATTTTATTGAGGACACGCCTGATGTTCAGTCTGTCGCAAAGTACCCAAAAGAGCATAACCTATTATGTCATTTGGGAGATCTCAATTCATGGGCTTTTCGAAACATCTGCAGGAGCAAAGGCACAGATTTTTTACAAGCAGCGACCAACGTATCTATAAAACATGGTTGTTATTGTATGCAATGAAATATATCAAACCCCATTTCAAAAACTTGACAGTTTTTTTCGGTTAGTCAAGAAATACTTTGCTGTTGCTATCTGAACACATTCATGGCCGTGTTAACAAAATCCCGGGCGCTGGACACTATTGCAACGAACCTGATTCCAATCCATACTTTTCTCTAAAATTTATTTCAAAATTATCCCGCATTGCCCACGTCTATATGCGGTTTCTTTTTTCTCGGTTGGAAGTTTTGTATGACTAGTCCGCTTGTATGCTACATGTTCCGCCCATCTCACTCTACTTGATTTAATATCATCCTAACCATATTCGGCGAATAATACAAATTATGAAGATCATTATGTAGTTTCCCCTACCACTGTCACCTGCCTTCCCTCCTACGTAGTCTCCTCAGCACCGTTCTCAAACACATCTATTCATATTATGTAGGCTGACACCGACATGTCGTAGGAGCATACGTCTATCATCTGGCATCAGCCTTGAGTTCCCCCGAAACGTCGCTAACCACCAACCAGACTACAGCACGGTATCATAACCCAGAACCTCACAGAATGAATCATCACAGACTTGAAAACCTCAAATTTTACACCTCCTATATGCTTTCTTTATAGTGACAGACCAAGTTCCATACCCGTACAAAACTGGTAGAGTTAGCGCTGTATACGGCACTAAAGTTCGTAGAGAGACACGTACGTCTACAAGCGCGCCTAAGAACTCACAAGCACTGTCACTACACTCGACACCGCGGCTTACACTTCGCGACTGCCTCATCTAGCTTCACTGAGGTGGAGGTGAAGGTGGAGCAGGGATGTGTTGTTCAGGTGATGACGGGGTTTCCGTTACTCAGGAAACGTTACACGATGCGGTACTGTTACGTTCACTGTGGGGGAAACACGAGGATCACACTCTGCTCCTTTGCTTGCTGCTTTGATGAGAACGTGTTTCAGCACGCTTTAGTGATTAGATTACAGACTGACGGACCAAGGGATTGAGGTTCTGTTTTGGGCAGAGGCAAGAGATTGTTCCTTTCTACACAGCGGCCACAGATCGTCTCTGGGGGACCCAACCAGCCTCCTATGTAATGGGTGCCA